TTTGCCGAAGCGCACGCTGCATTGGCGAAAGTGAAGTCGTTCTTTTATGCGCATAATATTAGTGAATGTGACGAGGAAAACATTTTGAACGTGGAAAGTGCTCTGTTTGGTCTAAAACGTAAAGTTTCGACAAACCAGTTGTCCATTAAAGACTTTTTTGGTAAAAAGAAGTAACTTTGAAAGAGAAACATTGTTTTTTTTAAATTTTTAATGCTTTCCCGCATCTATCGTTTTCCCGCATTCATCGTTTTTATTTCCCACCCCCGCCGAAAACGATGCATCGAGGTTTCACTGTAATATGAATTTTAAACAGTTCGACAAAGTGTTTTTATTTCATCCTCAAAATAAATACGTACCCAACCAACCAATGAAACTTGAGGCTATCAACCTTTATCATCCTTGTGTTGCGTCTTAAGAGCATTCCAGCTTTACGTGCTTCTCGATGGCATGCTGTTAAACCATTAACCAAGGAATTAAAAAGTCCAACGAGAAACCCCACAGTATCAGGGTTTAAATTCTTTTTCCTGAATGATGAAGGTTAAGTGAAAACTTGGTTCACTTGCTATAATAAAATAGAAGAGTGAAAGATCAAATATGGTAATCACTGTAGAGCAGGTTTCTGTAGATTTCACCAAAAAAAGAGATACCTTACTTTGTCCTCATCTTTAAGTCTACTTTAGTGACAGCAGTTTACACTTCCTCAGGGGAAAAAAAGGTACAGTATACTTTACTGGAGAAACTTTTTTAATTATTACTTTTCATTAAAACCACCCAAACACTTTGCACGGTGTTTAGGTAATGCCGCACTTGACCAAGTTCAGCAGAATTAATTAACAGATCATATTGCTTCTCAAAACAGTATATTCACATGTACCACTTCGTTGTCTGACCTCGCACGTACTCGGAATGCTTATTTCTTTCCAGGGGTTTTCACAAGACACTAGATCACAACACTTCTATAAATTACATAATACCAGGAAGAATATGTTCCACCGCTCACAAGTATTATACTCGTCCCACAACAAAAATAGACCAACTGTGGAGATCTCGACATGTCCCACGTCAAGTCTCACATTACGATTTACCTTTCTCCATAGGAGAAATCAACACCTTCAACCAGAGAAGTCATTGTGATCAAACAGGGCTTGATCATACAGTTCTCCTTTCACTAAGCGCCCTCCAAAATACCTTCCATTTAATGCATCCCGTGCACTTTCTGCTTCTGCAATGACAAGAGAAATAAATTGCTTTGTAGTAACAGCATCTTACAATTAATTCAGTATTAATTTAGAACATAAGCAATCTAACCACGAATAATTTTTCATTCAAACAAGCCCAGAAAGTGTATTCCACAGTGGAATGAAAGTAATATCAGCCTGCGTTCTTTGCTACGTGCACTCAGCGGCATTAAATCCACCTTGTTTGATAATTCTCACTTTGGCCGCCAAATTGCAGTACCTTAATGTCTACCTCACGACTTTCCTCATCCATCATTTTTGTTATTACCGCTTGTAGCACGATTTTTAGGTCATGCACAACCTCCACATCAAATTTTATCCAAATCCATCAAGTGGTTCTCGAGTATAATCAATTGGACAGACATACACGAGACAAGGCATTCTTCCTATGCGCCTCACGCAAAGAACGCATAAAAACACTGAAGATACATAATCGGTTTTAATTTACTTAATTATCTTACAAAGGAAAACTTGTTTGTAGAAAGTAATCGTTGGGAGATTGAGTCATGTGGAAGACGATAAAACGGGATGTACAATGATTCAGGAAATGTTCTATGGTGAGCATTCTAATGACTGTGATGAACTTTTTTGGTACATTAACAGGAAATACGACCACTTATCTACCGACTGCTCATGAAACATATACTTACGCACTACTTCCAGATATAAGATACTTACCACTCATCTGTGAGAACTCAACGAAGATCTTTACAATAACTTCAGCATCATCATCATCTTCGGACTGTTTCTCATTATATATGATTACCCGTTCCACAGTACCAAACCTGTAAGACAAAGTTTGTTCTGGTTGTATATTGATTTTCAAAACGTTGCTGAGAAAAATTCCCGGAAAGTCAGATCTTAACTGCGACTTTTCTCACTTTCACATAAAATATCTGATGCATCTAAATTATGTACGTCTATCTTAATGCGCACTACGTGAGGTATGTTTTTCCATGTCTTGCACGGTTCAGTGGCACTCCATACACTGGAACACAGCAGAACTCTGGTCACATGAAATGCACTGACAGCATCATTCTACGGAGCAATAAAATACTTTTGCCGATACCTAAAAATTTGGTAGCCCATAAAATTGTCTGTCGGATCAACTTCTCTACAAACACGAAAAGTACTGATTAGTTAACCCATTTTTTGGTCCCATTTCATTCAATGATACTTAAATTTGCAAATAAATATTTTCTGAAAGTAGAATTACAACATCAAATGGTACATTCAACTCACATTACTAATCTAACCAAGAACTCAAAGCGCAAAAGCTTGAAAACTCACTTGCTACACTCATCTTGGATTTCTTCCTGCAGCGTTTCGTCTACGTCATCCGGTTCCACCATATTTCGAAGGATCACAACTCGGCTCTGAAACCAGAAAACAACATTTCATCAACTCATTCCATTTTTATAAGTAATTTCCCAATATCCAAATTACCACTTCCTAAAAATGTACACACTCCTGATTCATGACCTAAATATGAAGCAAGTTACAAAATAATCATCTTTCTAATTAATTACCCCAGCTATGAATAAACTTGTACGTCATATTTTTAGTGCTCACTTGTGCCGAAAGATGGACAAAGAAAGGAAACATAGACATTTGTCACATTATTTTTACCATGATGTAAAACAGGCAGTTATCGTGTCTCGTAATAATGAAAGCGTTAACTCAACTTATATAGTTGACACAAGTAACAAATTAACCCGAACACAAAATTAAAGTAAAACAATTTACTTATGAAATAAAGAGTATTATAGCATGGCATTCAAAAGAAGCGCAGAAAGACTCTGAACTTGAAAGACCGGGTGCAATATGAAATGGCTTGTGGAATGTCAAGTAGTTTCTGCTGCCTCACCTCGACCTTGCGCATTAGTTTCTGCATTACGAGGTGGCGCGCACTCTGGCCCTTGATGGACATGTTCTCCTGCTGCTGCAATGTCTGCGGCTCCGTTTCCTCCAGCAGCTTTTTCTGCAGTTCCTCCTGCTGCTTTTGCTGTATAACACAACAAGCTTCGAGTTCAGAATCTCAAAATCTGAATGCCATTTAGACAACGAAACAGAAAACAAATATAACCAAAACACACGCAAAGTTTTTCTGATTCTGGGTAATAACACGACATCAGAAAATGCTGGAATAGAAAAGTCTGCATTCTTTGTAAGAAGTGACTAAATTAACGCATAAGAGATCATCTGTCCGTGCGCATACGGATTTTAAATTTCTAGAAGTACAGAACGGATAACAGAAAACTGATATTAGACTCTACTTCAAAGACGTTATGTGAATTATATTTCAGGTCATACTGGTCCAATATAACCCAACCTTTACGTGATGTTCAAGTCTACATATTTATTATGTATGCATAGAAAACAAATGACAACTGAGGAAAAACAGTTTACACCTCTAAGTAGCACTAAGAGCAATCACCACAGCATCGAGAGTGCAGATGGTGTGATATAAGATTTCAAGAGTTCACTCTGGTGTAGATATCAGCACCACAGAAACAAAAACATGTCAAATAAAAATCAGCATTGCTCAGTCTATTATTTCACGGGATATATTTTTAATATTAATTCTAGTCTTGGTAAAAACAGCAGGTAAGCGGAATGACTTCAAGGTCTAACTTCCAGTACACAAATTTTCCTTACCTGAGCCTGCTCCTGAGCTCTCCTAAAAGCATCCTGAGGATTGTTTCCTTGTGTGGTCATTGGCTGTCCGACGACGGTCGGAGTCAGGACGACGGGAGGTGGTATCACTGTTACTGGCTGACCTGAAATCGGAAAAAATTTAATGACACTGCTGCATATTGTCCGCTTCGCCCAGACTGAAGATGTGAAGACAGAATTACAAGGCACTACTTTAAGAACCGAAGATATGTCAAGTCTTCTTGTACCTGGAATAATCATTCAGAATAAAGAATCAAATCAGCTCTGTACATAAAAGAGATTTCTCTCATTCTGTCTTTGCATCATACCCCCAGCATCAGATTAGCTCATAATTCGTAAAAACCTTTACATGAAATTAACATAGATTCTATTTGTAACTTAAGTTTCTTTATGTCTTGCTCCCATCGGCAGAATTTGTACTACACTGCAAATTAATTCTTCCAGCCACATGCAATTTTAATACTCTACCTCTTTATTTTCCTTGTTACGTACAGCTCTATTACATTATGCGTTCAAAAGTACAGAATCCAAACATTAATGGTCATGTCCAAAACATGGCAACTTTAAAATTGTATTCCACTAATTCCTGTCATGATCCGATTAGTTATAAATATGCAAGGAGAAACGCCATTTCATCGTGCTAAAAATTGTACTTTCGGTTTAGTAACAAAATTATTGATCATTCTACTTTGATGCTACAACATAATTTAGCCAATACCTCCTGTATTGTGAAGGTTTATAAAGAAAAGCTGTGGTATTCACTGGACCAATCAGATTACTTCTAGGATTCTACCAACACACCAACTGCACTTCCACCACGATCAGCAAGAGGAATGAATTGTTACAGTCCATGTCTCATGAAGGGGAACAAAACATAAGTCAAATGAAAATCTCGGTAGCTCAAAGTTAATTGTATAATTATTTCGTCACACAGAATATTTAATATTACAAAACACCTGAATACAAATTTAATTAAAGTTACTTCCACAGCTTTAACATTCTCATAAACAAATCCCAAGAGAGGGCCCCGTTTCCACATCATGAACATACCTCCTATTGTCGTGGTAACTGGAGAACTCATGGCCGGTGCACGAAATTGCGGAATTGCCAGTCCGGGTGGGGGAATTATGGCGGTGCCCGGCATGGAAGAAGGCAGCATGCCGGAATGGGCATGCGCGGCCGACATCCCCACAGGAGCCGCCGTCTGCAAACCTGGCATTGCCTGCATCGGCATCACAGACGGTAATGTCGGGATGCTTGGGAGAAGCGTAGGTGCCGAAACGGGCGACCCCAATTTTGACAATCCTGCAGGGCAAAGGTAAGGAATGTGTGTTGTGAAATCCCATTATAAATAAACTTAAAGAGCACCGACATCAACAATTAATCATTGTGGTGAAGTCAACAAGAAAGCAGTACAGTTCACACAATTATCAAGCACTTACCTAGAGCAACAGCATTGCTTGCTACAGCATCCATTGCCTGAATCTTAGCTGTCGCGGCTGCAGCTGCTACCGCTGCCGCTGTGGGCATCATACTGGCTGCACTAGCTGGCCCCTGAAAGAATATAACCACACGCGAGCTCAATTTCTTCTGAACTTTACACACACTACAGTTCTGCACATACACGGAACATTCTCTCGGAATGCGATTAGCGGCACAAACAGGCTGAAAACGAGAACATCTATTAATCTATATCCTCCCAATAGCTAGTAACAAAATACGGTAACCCCCCCTCCCCCCAAAAAAAAAGCTCTGGTAAGTGGCAAATATACAAAGCCAAAAATATTAAATGATTTGGGCTGAAGAGCCTGTAACAACTCGCGGCATAGCACAACCAATTACTTTATTAGAATATTATTCAATGGCAGCTGCAGCAATCGGCATTAACTAAATCAAAGACTGACAAAATATACCTGATGAATGGGGGGCAGACATCACAGTAGTTGGTAGGCAAGACAGGGGGTGAACAAGGTATATGGGTTTTTAATGCATTTACTCAGCACCATTTTCCTTGAGAACAAAGATTTTTATGTACCAGCGGGAATCTCTGAAATTAAATACCTCCAAATGACATACGGAAAAAAAAAAGTATTATAAACGCTCACGTGAAACATTTCATTTTCTTGTAGTAATACTGATTTCAGCATTTGACTGGCCATATTACACAATTTGCATTTTTAATATATGTTCAATATAGAGCGGGTCTTCCAAATAAAAGTGCGTTTATTACGGCGTTTAGCCACAAAGACTTGGCAAGTGGGCTTAAACTTGCATTTATACATCTGGCACTGAATATATTAACACGTTTGATCACAACATGATTAACCCTAGAACACCGTACAAAATATAACTTGTCGCAAAAACAAACCACGATAATAAATTTTTGTAACCTTAAATAAAGCCACACAGAAAATAAAAATTTTCAAGTACCTTGGGCTGCCTCACCTGCAGTGCATTGGGAGGGGTGATCGCCCTCCCCACTCTCAGGTATTGGCCTCCGAGATCAAACAGGTTCATAGAGGCAATGGCTTCTAATGCGGCCTGCTGAGTCTCGTATTCTATGAAGCCGTAACCTTTGTGTCTACTTGGAGTGCTGCCAGGAGCCAATTTGCAATACTTGATTGGCCCAAATGCTTCAAACACACTGCGGAACAGAAATCACATAATTTCAACACTGAAAGGAAACATCAATGACAACTTTAATGAATGATTATTTTGTATCATATTTGGAATGTTCTAACAATCACAGAATTCTTAGGGTTCATAATTTATTAATTTTGCTGAGATTAAACATTTAATGTTATTTCCATCCTTACTACTTCCTTAAATTTCTCCTCACGATTTCTTGTAATACGTAAATAATGCAAACTGCTAACCTTTTGATGTCGTCTTCGGTGAGGTCTGGATGTATCGATGCCACATAAATTCGATTGTAATGCTTTGCCTCCTCAGTAATCTCATCAATAACAGATTGCGCCTGGGGCATGTTGCTGGGGCGTCCCACCTGTAGTAGGACACCGACAATTAAACTGTTAAGACATGGGTCGGTTTGCCTCCGAGATTTCATCACGGAGACTACCGACTTTATATAGCAAAACTTAATTTAATCAGCATGGGCTGAGATAACTCAAATGGTACATCATTCATTGTCACAGGCACGGCGGTTCCGCAGCCAAAGCAGACACTCCACGCAACGATCCCGACACGCGCAAGGAAACCTGTGAGTAGAAAAAGCTGAAAAGAAATGTTTTACTAAGGCAGTAAACAATTCAACAAATGAATGTAAGAAGACAAGTACAATGGTAAGACAGGGCCACCATATATCAGTAATTGACAGAAATTATTCCTATACAGCCAAATGATTGCGTACAATACGTATTTTAAAATTTCACTAACTCATACATCTTCTAAACGTAATTACTGATATTTAAACTGTATTACTTTTGAGTACATCTAAACTGCCTTTACATTATACCCCAAAACACATCAATTTGTTTTAAATAAATACTGAATTTAGGCTACTTCAAATATGTGCCAAATTGCAAGAAAAACCACATTTTAACACAGATCTGCCTAAAACTTCAACTATTACCACCAAAAGTAATATGACCTGTTTTGAGGTAATGGTATTGTCCACAATGTATGCTCTTCAATGCACACACTGCATTGACAACTTCTTACTTGAAGCTATGAGTGGTGGAAGTTACCGTGCGAGTGCTCTTCTCTTATACTCACGGCCATCCCTCGCAGTTGGCGCTTGTCAGCCCCTGCCCCTGGCTCCCCCAACGATTATCATCTCTGAGACACACAGCCCCTGCTTCTTTCTGCTCACGCCGCGATATTCTAAGGTACGAGACTTTGCGAAAGAAGGAATGTATTTGGGGCCAACTTAATCATGTTGAACGACACAAAATGAACAATGAAGCACTAAATTAAGAGGGTGTTTTAGTAAGAAATAGGGAAGCTATCGTGAAACAGCTGCATTTAATTTTATGAATTTCTGCCAACAAATAATAGCTGAGAAAATTCCGTGGCCAAATATTAAATAATTTGAAATTATTAAAAAAAATTATCATCTCTGTTGTACGGTGAAACTTTTCAAAATAATGTGCTCTGATACATGGATTTCATGTATGGAACAGCATATCAACTAAAGAGAATGCAACCGTTAGTTACAACCTCTTACGTGATACAATAACAAAGGAAACTTTGTATCTCAATAAAATTTAGTGATTTTCCCAGGGTCTGACGTAGACAATTTTAGGAGAACAATCATGGTTAATGCAACAAAGATCCACTACATAGCTTACCCTTATATTGGAAGCAACATGGAATACAAACCACTTAAAGTAAAGTGCTTTTAAGTTCGCATATGAACATCAGCACCTTAAGGTTGGAACTGAATGTCATGCAACCACCAGAGATGTTTTACTTTTTTATAGCAGTCAATTATGTGGGAGTACACCAGGTTACAAACATAACCAAATTTACAATATATGATTCCCACAAACAGTAAAAATTGGTTTCAAGTTCAAAATGGAAACACAATCAGCGATGGAAGGAAGACCCTCTGTATCTTCACAATTTACAAGGCCCTTTAAAGGATTTTGGTCCTTACGGAACAACATTTATAACTATGTATTCACTACTTTAGATTTTCCGATCATTCTTGACAAATAATTTGCCAGAACTATTACGTATCGTAAATTGAGAAAGAATGGCGAAGAAGCCACCATAGCCCACATCAAGACATTATTTCCCCGCAGCATACTTGAAAACACGATGTCGACAGTGCGACGACAAGTACTAAACGCTAAGACTGAATTCATTCCTTGGAATAATGGGAGCACATCACCAATTCTTCCTACTTGTGGCAGAGTTCCACTGGTTTCGACAGAAGCGAAGGCAAGACGTTTCCATGTTGCATTCCAAGCTGTGAATTGTGTGTATGTGTGTGATACAGAAATCAGCAGACCCTCAATTCTCCATTGCAATACCAAAGTTGCAGTAAGATCAGGATTTGCTATGGCACTACACAGAATTCTGCATGGCTCCATCTCTATTATAAAAGCTTTTGTAATGATTCTCATTGCTAAATGTACGAAGAGTAATTGTATATTTAGTTATGGACTGTGATCTCAGTGACGACATGTAGTCTTGTAGGTCGTCTCCACCATTCCTCCAAACCAGCGGTAACGACATGCAAGACTATACGTTGTCACAACCCAGAAGAGCACAATCTATGATAGAGGAAATACCTGTGGTATTTTCCTTCACAATCAAGACTATTAATCGCAAACACCTGTGAGCCAACTTTACACATGTAAAATGCACCAACACTAACTTCTCTCTACACTAAGCACTAAAAAGTATTGCTCTCATTACTGAAATTTAGAGATAATGGAAAAACATAATATTTCCATTATATCCATTCCCTCCAAAACATCTAAAGAGTCATATAAAAATGGTAAATATCTCGATAGAATTACGCTGTTCACCGGACACACTCAGCGAATTATGAGTAAAAGAGAACGGGGTTAGGAATATTCTCCGAGCACAAACTTCAGATTTGTGATGTTATTTCTCGTCAACTTACAATCCGAATACGCATTTCCTGACATTTTCACGAACCGTCGTAAGGAAACACAAAATTACTGTGTAAAGTGCCACCACATTCATAAAAAAATAACTAGCAATTAGCAAGTCATCACAATTGTTCTTACAGCACGCCATGGAACAAGCATGGAGAACTGAAGTTCAGCTGTCGACAACAGCGCGAATAAGGAACTTCTACCTTGATGTTTCTTCCCCCGATCATCACGCCGTTCATCTGTTCTAGTGATAGCTGTGCAGCCTCTGGAATCTCATACTCTACGAAGGCGAACCCCTTGTGTTTCTGCATCACTGGGTCCCAAGACATGTTGATTGATTTGATTGGACCAAATGGCAGAAATGCTTGTCTGATTGTGTCTTCCTTCAGTTCAAAGCTTATGCTCCCAACGTAAACCCTGTCAAAGAGATTCACCAAAAATATTCAACTCACTCTTTAAATGACAGAAGTGAAATGTTACTACAAGGTTTTGTACTGTAAAAAGAAATTCAGTTTGACGTAAGGTACAAGACAAGAGAGGCAACTTGGTGACAAACTACTTTTGCTTATCCATGCCCTTATTCTGAAAAAAGATATACATTTCTAGTTCACTAATCTCTTATGTAAGAAATGCTCAAATCACTTTAAACTTTCACATTAAATCCCAGGTCCATTCACTTACTGGTTTCAGACCAACTGTAACAGTATCTTACTTTTTGCCAAGCAAAATGGTCGGAAATTCGGACCATAAATTTGTATAAATTAAAAATGTTACATCAAATATTCATTATTACAATATAAAAATCTGCCAAATATTAAAATTCATTATAAAAAAGTGACATCCACATGACAATTTTTTTGCAGCAGACCAGAGTTTCTGAACTGATACAATTTTTTTTTAATGTATGCTTTCTTCTACGCTAAGTCGTCATTATTCTCAGCGCTATACAACAGATTTTACCTGAATGCAGTGAGCATGTGGTACCTAAAACAATATTTCAAAATGCGCCAAACTTCATGTGAAACCATACTGGCTTAAAAAACTATTTCCTACTAAGCGAACATATGGTCATTTTCAAGATCTGTGCATCAGTAACAAAGATCACACAATACAAATGCATTTTAAAGCCGAAGTTCTTTCTTAGTTAAATGGCCACTTACTGGAAAATACAATATTTGACACTGCCAATTCTATATTTGCAGTCAGATCTTATCAGCACATTATCACAATGAATGGGAGTAAAAACCAAGTTAACACTTGGTACTCAACCACCCACAATCAAATAACGTAATGTTCATCACTCTGCATAATTCCATTTTAGCATTTTAGACCTGAAGTGAGGCTCCAGGATCTGGCTTATATACTAGCCTTCATATGCAGGAATACCGCTCATGTTCGCTAGACGTACGATACAAAATAGTTTTGAAATGTGGAGTGCTGGAACTACACACTCCACCATGCACTTTCATGTAGTTCACCTAAAGAAATTTTGGTTTTTGACCAAACTGCACCAAAGGAGATGAATATTATATGAAACAGAAAACACCAAGAAAAATCTTGGCTTTTGTAAATGTACCCTATCAAAATGCAGCCAAAAATACTGCAGGTCACTTGTAACATTTCCTTTCGGTCCGACTCAACAGCAACCGCCTTGCTCTTCGTGAAATACACGGCACTTTGGCTTATTCATCGACTTTCATTTAACGCGGTACATTGCAAATTGAATCTTCTAAATATGTAAACCAGTGCAATATAAGGGAAGGCGAACCGTCTCCTAGCACAACACGACGAATGTATGCAAGTTCCATAAATTAACCATGGAAACACGTCATATGACCCCATGTTATTCACGGCATAGGAGGCTGGGTGGAATTTTTCTGATGTGGTAGCAAAAGGAAAAATCCAAGCTGTAACTCCAGTAAATAAAGACAATCCATGCATCCCTTACCAAGTTACTTTGCCACAATGGCTTCCATCTTTCATAAAATTGACTGTATTCATCAATGCAAAGTTATTTCCTGTGGATATGACGGTAATTTACATTTTCTTATGTTGCTATCTCTGATTCTGAACAGAGTGTTTATATTATCTCAAACGCTACAACTGTTTAATTCTCAAGCATATAAATGACTTTGCTATCCACCAAGTCTGCGGCCATAATGAATCACCATACGGTACGAGTAAAAATGGAATGCATATTATTTAAAGAATTAAATTTCTAACGAAAAGATCTAGTAAAATGGATGTTACATGGTATTGTAAAATCATCTAATAAATAAAATGTGGCCATTTCTTCCCATTGGAGTACAGGTAAATATAAAATGGGAATTTTGGCAGTAACAACTTAAAACCTTACTATAAGGCCTGTTCAGAACATCTGAAATGTATAAGTTATCGAACAAACTGAAAGTACGAAAGACGAAACAGCATTTAAATTACATAGAACTTTCAACTAAAACCTGTATTCAGTGGCACACATCCAAAAGTAAAAACAGTTTACGGCGAAATCATATAAAATTATTTATTACGGTTAAATCTAAGCATGGCAACACATTTGGACCCACATTCTATAACCTGATAGGAATTTCTGATGTGGTACAGAGCTTGGTACTTGTTCTTGTGGGTTTATATAACAACCACTAAACTACTCTCCTAATTTCATACCAACAGAGACCAACTGGGAGGAATGTATTATCAATATCAATGATGAAATATAAACATATTTATTTTAAAAAAAATCTGCCTCTTGAATGAAATGGCCAAGCTGCAGGAATGATAATGAATTTTCAGCAGGTCTGAAATGTGTTATATGCTATAAGACTTATCTAAAGTGTGCCTTAGGCACACTAAATTAAACTAAGCAGTTTTGAAAACTATGAATCTGAACAGACCTTTGTTACGTAGTTGCCACTCCTCCAAACATCCAAGACAAACAGGCCAGAACGTTGAGCAAAGACTACTAGTGTGAGTGTAAATGAGGATTTATATGATAAAAAAATTAAATATTGTTTGTGCCGAATTTAAATTTGCGCACACCCAAAACCAATAAAAATTAATTTTAGTAATCAACAGTTCATATTCTGTTATTCAATAGAACTAATTTTAGACTATGGATTTTTGGTTATGTAAGCAAATAATTATTAATATTTGAATGGGGGGGGGGGGAAATAGGAAAATTGAAAAAATTAGAGAAATTCTTATGGATCTAGAACCATGAGATAAAACAATGCTACTACAATAAAGCTTGTATTTTTTTTACAAGCATAGCGTTAACTAAAGTATATACTACATCAAGCTAAAGGACACTGTAAGAAAAAAAAACACTGGTTTATTCTGAAGAACCTACACAAAAATATAAAATGTGTGTTTTAATACCAGTTCCTTTCCATACAAATCCTCATGCTCATGTCCATAATGCAGCGACCAACATTTACACACGCACACACACCTCTCCCTTCTGATGGCCATGCACCAAGCTATAAAAAATATGTTGTTGGCATATTGTTAACCACATCCCTGAATTAACTCACGTTCAAAATTTCGAGTTAACTAATAGCAGTTAGACTACACATTATCATCCTGAGTTCTTTTAAATTCTAGCAATAATTTGGGCTTCTTCTCAGTAGGTGGAACCAGTGATCAACGTTTCACTAGCGGACACTGTGTGTGGTACATTTTTTTCACATATTACATCTTTACTTGACAGTCTTTGCAAATAGCTGTAATCACAGACGTAACACGCATATTATTTTGCGATCACGGAAGTTGATAAGTAAGCGATTCGTACTTCGAAGTCAGAATCAGAAAACACAGAATAAGATTCAGCCAGTTCTGCTGACACAATCTCAAAAATGGATGGACATAAGAACTTCAGGTCTAAAACAGAGCACAAACATCTACGCAGATGCCAAGGTGACTCACGATAATAACAAAGCTGCTTATAAGCTATAAATCTTCCCTTACCTGCATACCGCCAGATCATAAGCTCATGAAGCCACACCCACATTGGGGTTATTTGTGACGATAAGCCAAGGGACTCCTTTTGTTTCGGCAATTAGACCAGCACTGACACACACAGACAATTTAGGCTGACATACAGCACACCTGTCTGCGGAAGGCAAGACTAGGATCTCACACCTTTACTCGTATGAACTAAATTGGAGGCGGCATCACGGACACGAGCCAACACATTCACACACGCATGCTGAAGCTGTGACATGTGAGGAACTGTTAAGATGGAAGTTTTGCGAGTCTGCTAACCTGCACATGAGGGCGAGGGCCTGTTGTCTTTGAACCTGACTCCTTTGACTAGCCATTTGCTGCAACAAGAGACAAGTGTCACCCCTTTTGGTTTTTTGCTCCTCAATGTGGGACACAGACAGACATAACAATACTTCACCTTGAGGCCCCACCTGGCCCGCCAGCTACCAGTCTCCCACCTGGGAAAAGGACATACAACAACATCTCCACCCACTAATGTACAGATACGAGAAGCACTAACCTGCACATCAACGCTATGGCTTGATGCCGCTGGAACGACTTAGCTTGCTGGGGAACAACACGACGATGAAAAGAAAAACAAATATTTATTATTTGAAACTTTTACAAGACTAACACACACTTTCTTCCTGGAAGAGAATACAGGTTTTTCACCACATTCATAGCTGGATAAGCAGATGCGCGACCCGACACTTCACATCACAAACAAATTCTGATCAGAGTGCAATATCCCAAAAGTCAGACATCGCTGTCTCTCTCATTTTCCTCGACTTCTGTCGAACACACCGTGACAAATTTTCTCCGACACGATACCCAATAAGTCAGCTTTCTCTACACACACCCAATACTGACATCTATGAAGAAATTAACAAGACCGGAAAATATACTCTCCGGAGTACACTAAAATTCACGTGTTCTTTGAGCAACATCACGCATAGTGACATCAGCAGACTTACTCATTCTTATTTGGAAGCACTAAATGCAACAATAGTACCCAAGGTCAATGTTGCAACGTGTTCCAACGACGATCCTGATTCCCAGCGGAAACCGCCTTCCTGCTATGAATGTGTTAAAATCGTAAGTTGTACGCTGTCAAACTGCAGTAGTACAAGCATAACTTTGTTACATTAGTTAAGCTTGGCTCCCAAACTATTATATATTTCAATTAATATTCCAGAAAAAGTGTATCATGGAGTTCTTTGTGTATCACCAAAGCAAACTCACATAAAATAATTACACTGGTAAAAATCTAAATAGACAGCACGGTGACGATGAATATTACCATGTCCGTTCTTCATAGCACGGACATGAATTGCGGAACTCCAAATGTCAGCTCTTTTGAAGGAGGAGTAAATAGTTTACAAAATCATATTTTTTAACACAGGCATGTAAGAGAGTGATAAAGTTTGGGAACCAACGAGTTATAACATTCAGAAAGTAAAATGTCAGAATGACGTTAACTTTCAAGCCTTTCCCACGTGTTATAATTCGGGGGGGAAAAAAAACCTTAAGCACATACGACCATAACCTGCAAAAATACGTTTGCCCTCAATCAAATAATCATTACAAACTTCAGTAAAAATATTTTATTAATAAAGATCTAAAAATAAAATAAAAACCAATGATTCTACAATCTCTATATCTAGATAAATTATGATACTATACTAAAACAAAAATATGTGGTTCATAGTTTTGTGACACACATCCGAGCAACGAAAGTATTAAACCAGCTGGTCATGGTAGAAAAAAAAAAATGGATTTAAGTTAAGTTAACTCAAAATGCAAATATGTGGTTTCCACATGAAAGTTCATACAAGATGAATTCACTGTTTCTGGCAGCTGCTGAGAAATCTTCTTTAAGATTACGCCTGGGAAATTAAAGTGTGGCTAAGGGATTCGTGAAACAAAATCAGTTTCACTCTTTACATTATCACAGCATTAAATACCGCTAATCAAACTGGTGATTGGAAGGTCGTAAAAAAAAGAGTGAGCGAGTAAGAGATGACAAAACTGCGGTAACAAATTTTTATAATTCATCAAACCCATAACCAAATACATGACATAGTAAACTTGATTATAAAAACATAAATTTTACATTTTGCCCATAAAACATATTTAAGGGTTTTATATGATTCTCACAATAAACAGCAATTATATCTGTAATGGAGATACATTGGGTCTTTTGTAGCAGAAACTGAATTTAAATATGGCTTACATGAGCTAAACATCAAACGGCTAAAAACAATATAAAATCTACGACGAAAAGAGAGAAGAGTGAAAATCGAGGTTTCTGTTGTACGATGTCTTATAAAGGAACAAGCTAATACTTATATAAAAAAAAGGGTTTTTCATGGTCAAAAGGAAATTATTAGTGTAAAAGAGATTACTCACCAGCTGCTGATGTGCTAGCGTCTGTTTCATGAGCACCATCTTGATGCTTTGTTCCATGGCATATTTCTTGGCACGGGTCACCGCTTCCTGCTGCTCCTGATTCAGCTTCGGAAGCCCCGCCCCAAGCAGGCCGGGAATCGTCGTATTCCGGGCTCCAGGACCTGAACGGCGATTGTTAATATTAAAATTCCTGCTCCAAAATCAATCAGTAATAAACAGAAAATCGTAATCGTATAAAGAACAGCGTAATAAAAATAATATTTACAGCAGACACATCCACATGGTACACGTAACGAGACAGAATGGATTTTCTATCCATACTAAACAGATGACACTACAATGTAAACTACAAGACTTTCTACAGTTCAACTTATCTTGGACACAAATTATTACCTTATACAACAGCCTACAATTGGCGTTAAGAGGATTAAATGGGAAAGTGGAGTCAAAATTTGTTCACCTCGGAGTATATATGAATTAAAACTTAACGTCAGTGCAACAATCAACAGATATGCCTAAAATGGGCATCTTTATTTATAGTTTTACCTGCTACAAGAGGTCCTGACTGCGCTAAATTGTATATTGGACCAGGTAAGAAGTCTGAATCTGGCGATGGTTGTGCAGAAGATGGCGATAGCTGAACATCGCCTACAACAAAGGTAGAAACAATAGTCAAGGAAAGTAACATGTAACAACATGCAACACACAAACTAACTAGCCACCAAGCAATTTTCTTGTAAGATAAATATTATATTTTATCATATATATATTATATATAGACAAATATGAACATTACATGTACTTCTGCAAAGTGCAAAAACCATGGAGATTAGATATAACTCCTATTTATTATGAGGAAACTTTTCCCACTAAGGCTGAGTGTCTGAAACATGCGATGTACTGTATAAAAAAAAACAATTGATCAATGACAAAATATTTCTAATCTCCAAAGACCTTCCTTTTTCTATTTCTACTGCAGTCAATCATCTTCTGCTTTAGAAACAGCTTAAAAGTATGTGTTAATTCACAAAACAGTTTTCAATACATCACACAACCAAATCATGTACAATATAGATACAAAAATTTTGGTAGGAAAATCTCGAGGATTAAGCGTTTTAGGCGACCTGGACATATGTGGCAGATATTTTTTAACGAATCACATATAAACAGACTGCAAAGATGTGAACTGGCCTCAGATGGTTTGGCAAAAGATCAAATAGATTTTCTTATGAAGGCAATGAATTTTGAAGATCCATAAAATCAAGAAACTTCTTCACCAACTAACTCTTTAAGAGCTCAAGGAAATATCTCCTCGATGGAGTTGGTTATACTGTGGCTGCTTTCCAATGTTTGTGGCCCCTTCACCATGACACAACCTAACCTAACTCTTGTACTCAGTCAGTCATTGGCTTGTCAAAATCATTTCGCAATGAGGACCACCCCACCTTTCTGTTTGAAATCCCCTGGATTTGAGGTTTTCAAGGTGGTGAATTCAAATATGGCTGTCTTCTGGGTTTTAATACTGTGGTAGAAATTTACCAACATTTCAGAGGTTTTAATGCCTCCATCATCAGCGTGATTGCACTGACAATGGAAGACAACCACTTCTGCTTTTATCACGTCCAATTTCTCGGCCTGCATCCATGCCAATGAAAAACGGACGACATACATACATTAAAAAGTATGATCGTACATTTCAAAGACCTTACCATCTCATCCTGTAAACTGAATATGTAAAGAAGGAAGTTCTCCAAAATATCACTACAATGAACACCAATTCTTTTTAATTTCTGCTCATGAAATAAAGCGGGAGTTTTTAATAAACAATAAACAGCCAGGATCTTACCAAAGTTTATGAGACTTTTAATAAAATGAATTTATGAGATGAAGGTAGGCTGACAGGCTAGACATGCTGTAAAATGAAGTTAATGCCCAGTGTCCACCTTACAGATAAAGGCAGTATTGGAAACAATGATTTATGAAGTATAACCAACTCAACACAAGGCGGTGATTCAAAAGGTAAGTTTTAGCGCCAGCCACTAATAGCCACTTATTTGTAAATGGAACGAATAGTCAACATAAAGGAGAAAA